AGATGCACTACACCTCAACTCAAGAGTGACCGGTTTGAAGGTGGTGAACTAGCCGGTGTAATGACTCTTGGTAGCAGTTCTACATGTTCTGATTCGCTTGCAGAACGGACTTTTCCATTGCGGCGAACTGCCTCAACCTAGAAATGAAAGAAATGATACAAGCAAAGTCGTACCGAAAAACGTTAGCGCAGAATTGGGCAACATCAAGTGAAGCTAAACTTGGAAGACGCCCTGCTGTAGTCGATGCTAATCGAAAGCAGTCTCAATAAAGAAAGCGACCTTGTTGGGAAAAAACGCAGCATAAAAAGCGCAGATTATCTTTCATGATGAATAATCATGACATGACACCCTTTTTTGCATAAACACACTTCAAGGAGAAGCTTCCGAAGTCAGAAACAGTGAGGTAGGAGTATTCTCATAATATGCTAATCAATATGCACCTGAGGAGAAACCATAGATTTTCCTTTTGGCTGATCTTGAACGGCTGTCCAGGAAGAATCGTCGTCTATTGTCCTGGTACTTGCTGCATCATTCGATCCAACAAAAGATGGCCTAGATCAAAGAACATTTCAAAACAAAAACGGGTTTTAACATGGAAAAAGTCCAAGATACTCCGCAGATCAAGTGAAAAATAAAATTTCAAAGAGCTGCAGTGCAATGGTGCTAAAAATCCATACCTAGGTCCTTCTCGACTCATCAATGTGCTTCGATATGCAAGGAGCCAACTTTGAGACGTTACTTCAAGGAATGTACAATCATCACGAACAACCACAGAATAATCAGGTACGAATCCAAGTTTCTGAATAAAGGATATAGAAAATTGCTTGTTGAAAGATGTGATGATGAGATTTTAAAACACCTCTTGTATCCTACTTTGACTAAATAAAGATGCACGATAAATTTGTACCTGTTTGTTATCGGCAGATAACCCGGAATGTTCATTTTCGCCCAGGCCGCGCAACTCGTATTCACTTCTCGATACGAGACGTTCCAGCATCTCAGTACCAAACGCATGCCAAGGCCCCGCTTCAAAGGTCATTTCATCCTGAGATGAAGAGTGTCAAACCCAAATTCAACCGCTTTCGATCACTGCATTCAAAAGATCTCATAGATCAATACCCTCAACAGTTTGATGGAAGTAGGGTTCAAGAAAACATGCTAACCTGACCGATTGTGACAAGAGCACGTCCTTCCAAAATCAAAATGAATTTTTCTGAGTACTCTT